GGAAACTTCTACACAGATTACAGTTCTTCGGAATGAAGAGGCATGTAAATTCAATTGCAATTCGTCTGAAAAAGCACAGCCATAACAAAACATAATTTGACATGCATTGATCAATAAAAAAAAATGGCTTAATCACTTGTCTAGAAAGGTTTTGGGGTGTTGCTGAAATGCGGATTACAGGGAATATGTTCATAGAAAAGTTACACTTAAGTTTGAAACCGAGTAAGTACATTAAAAGTGGAAACAACATTAAAAACTTAAAACAAACTCAGAAATCACACACAATCATTTATCCATTTCACTAGTCAAGAGCACGAAAGATACCTTCCCTTATCCATATTTTCTTCAACTAATATACTCACATAGAGGAAAGATGAATATAAAAGTCACAATAAAATATATACAAAAATTGTAGAAGAACTCAGAAATCAAAGCTTAAAAATGCAAAAGCATCAGAATAATTTAAAATCGGTTTATAATCACATATAAACCGACTTCTTGATGAGCTAAATGATTTCCTTGTTTTATGATTACATCGCATAAGAAAACGCAAAGTGTATAATCAAATGTACGAAACAAAACGTATATACCTATTTAATTGGACAGAGAAAAGCTATAAACTACAAAAATGACTCAATTCTAAATACTTCAGTCTCAATTTCGAACCCAACACAAAAAAATAGTATGAGATTGGCACTATGATCTAGCTAAAACAATCAACACTAGCAAACAACACTGATCCGAACTCCTAATTCACAATCCGAAACTATATTTCTTGATTGCTCAATTAGCTATACACATTTTAATTAAATTAGAGCTTCAAAAGCATACCATGCCAGCATCGTTGTAGATGGCGACGGTGAATTTCTGATTAGAGTTGTGGTCCATGATCAGAAGATCTGCAATAGAAACCAAAACACATCATTTTAGGTGCAAATTACGTGCAATTTAGAGAACGACAAAACAGTAGAAAGATCGCAGAGACGGAGAGAGAAAGAATGAGAACGATTGCTTACCTTAGGCATTTTTGCCGATGTCTGTGAAATGTCCAGCTCCCTTCTCATCTTTACAGAAGGGAGAGAAAGTCAGAAATATTGGGAGAGAGAGAGAGAGAGAGAGTGTGTGACATCGTTTTGCATGTAAGAGATCGTCTGCGATTTTGACAGAGATGGAGATGGACCAAAATTAAGTTTGGATTCGGATTGCATCTATGATTTTGCATAGTGATAGAGATGGAGTTGCGATCCGAAATTAGAAAGAAAAAACGGAAGGTTTTGAATGTCAGGAAGAAACAGGGGAGATAGAGAATAGCGGGAAGATTCGTAAATGAAATTAAACTGAAAAAAGCTTGCCATCAGGGGCAAAACCAAAAACTAATGATTGGGTCATTTTAAATGGACTGGTTTAATATTGAGTTTTATTCTAACTATTAAATAAAGTTATTACATGGATTTTGGTTTAATATTGGGTTTTGTTCTAACTATTAAATAAAGTTATTACATGGATTTTGGTTAAAATTCCAAATTTTCAAGTCATTTTTCTTAGTTTTCTTTATTAAATATCATTGGTTAAGAGATAACTAAATACTATATTATGTTGAATATTGAACAACTAGGGAGAAATGGTGGATAAAGAAAACAACGCAACCATGGGCATCAAATATTGCCCTAGTTGTTTTTTTTCCTAACAAACGACATGATAATCTACGCTGGATTCTTATAAACTATGGAAGGGAGGTTCAAAGCTGGGATGCGGTGAGTTAAAAGGAAGACAGTATCCACCACTTGCCCCTAGTTGTTTAGTATGCAACATAACATAGTTCTTAATTATCTTTGACAAACAATATCTAATTTGCAATGCCATGTTCGGCAAAGGCATAATTTGTATCTATCAATATGAAAATAAGACGCCATGATGTCATGACGAGGAGTAAGAGGTTTGCAAGTGGTTAGAGCGCCTAAACCCTTTCTCTGCATTTGAAGTCCTAAGTTTTTTTAAGGTAATGCTAGAAAGACTAAATTTGCAAATTAAATAACATGAATGTTGATGATTAGATTATTAATTAAGCAATGATGAAAAAAAATGCTCATTTCTTATTGGCGACACATCATTTAGTTTGTAAATTTTATCTACCAATCTCTCTAGGATTACTTTTTGGTTTTTTTGCAGTCCTAAGTTGATATCCCCTCTCACCTGCTATTTCTTGTATAATAAAAAATTATTCTGCACTTCAAATTTTGTGCAGTCGCTCCCTGCAGCCTCCTTTCCTACGAAATTAATGTACCATGCAACATGCATGATTTGCTTCAGATTCACATCTGCATCCATAGTATTGCATCGCAAGCAGTTGTTGCAGTTCCCCTTGAGCACAACAAACCTTGGCATCGTTGGCATTTTAATTCTCTCCTCTTTCTCGATCTCCAACAACTCACGTTAACTTAATCACTTCTCCAGAAGAAAACTTGGCTATGTTTCGTGTTATTTATAAATTAAAACCCATGGAACCATCTCATGTCCCTCGTGACACAATTAATCGACATTATGGCATCCCATTTTCAAATAATAGATAAAAATTGGGCTTAATTGGATTAATAGTCTTCATGGTGATAGTGTAATAACAAAATACCCCCTGTGGTTAAAAAAAATTAGGATTTAAGCCTTGTGGTGAAGTTTTTTAGAATTCAGGCCCAAAATTGAAAATTTCGTCAACTCTCAATTAATTGTTAGTATATGAGACTCACATGTGAAACCAAAAAGATCAAGTTACCGTCACGTGTAAGCCTCACATGCTAACAATTAACAGAGTTCCGTTTTAGCCTCATTGTGTGGCTCATATGCTAATAATTAAGAGATAGTTGTCAGAATTTTTAATTTTGGGCATAAATCCTAACAGATTTCAACACAGGAGCTTAAATTCTAATTTTTTTTTAACCACATAGGCTATCTTTCAACTACTCTATGACCACAGGAACTAATAATTCAATTGCACCTAAAATTTAAGCGCATGTCGAGCATGGCATTACCAATTAAATATTGTTGGTCAATTAAACGAAAATGGCACCACCAAAGCTATTAATAAAGAGTGGGAAATGATAAGCACACTCTTTTTAACCTCTCATGCACCGTTATTTATCATGTGCATTGTTTTCATTTGATTTACTCAATCTGATGGCTACAAATAAAGAGACGCATTTGAGAAGTTAAAATGGTGTGTAAAAATCACTTTCCATGAAGAATATATACAAAAATGGTCTTTAGAATGTAAGCAACAAACTTTTTGGCATGATTGTGCACGAGTTAAATGGCTTACTGAAGGTGATCAAAATATTGCTTTTTGCATGCTCATGCCCGTGGAAGATTTTTTTTATTTTTTATTTTTCATTTTTTATTTATTTTTATATAAAAACAAACAATATTGTCTGTACTAAAGGGTGATGGAGTAAGCTAAGCCTCACAATGAGCTAACAATAATGTGGTTCAAATTCGCCTTTGATGAGAATCAAACCTAAGACCTCTTACTTACAAATAAAGAGAAATATTACTTGACCATAGTACTAAGTGGTTGCCCGTGGAAGATCTTAGGCATCAAGAATCGCTACTCTTTTGGATGGGGAAATTGTACTTTGACTTTCTTCGCCTGCTGATATTGTTGACCACGTGATAAATTTTTATAAATCTTTGTACAATTCTTCTTTCATTCCTTCTAGTATTGATGATGTTTGTAGTGTAATTTTGCTTGACTAGGTGTAATTTTTTTTCATCTTCTCTGCCCCCCCTTTGAATATGATCTGATCTCGAACTTCGGAATTAGTCTTTCGGGCTCTTTAGAGCGTTAGAATGCGTCTTCTGGTCCTCATATGGGTGATTCCCCAACCTATAACTTACTTGCCTTATATTACTCTTGCCCGGAGATTTTATATTGGAAGAAAGCCTATACTTATATTTTTAGGTGCCATAGTTTATTGCAACTGAACCCATGACCCAGTTGCTCACACCCCCCCCCCCTCGTTGTGACCAGGTGAAACTTTCTTTATTTTTATTTTTTTTGGTCAAAGGTTTACTTTATTTATAACACAACATATTACATTAGAAAAGGTCCAAATACAATAAACACACAAACAAAAAGATAGACCTCCATCGTAACCCAACAGCCCAAAAGATAGTTTTAAGCCATAAATAGAAAAAACACCAAAGCAAACCCTAACAGCTTCCTACCTTCGTTGCCAACCCACTTGCCGAACCAACATCACCTCCATCCATCTGAAATCAAAATAACTAAAGCCCCAAAGCTGGATGAAGAATGACCTGAAAATAGAGCCCCAAACTCCTCCACAGAGCACCACAGCAATAGCCGCCACAAATCAAAGGAAGCCAACGAGAAAAAACCCACTAGCAACAGTGCCAAACAAAAGCAACCCAAAAGAAGGAGGTGGTGTGAACACCCGAGGCAAAATTCTACTCACTTTTCGGAAGAAGCACGATAAATAATGTTGAAAAAAAAGTGGGAGCCGATCTGGATTCTGGAGTCAAAGAAGGATGAAGCCGATCCAGATTGGAGAATGTTGGGGGGAGGGGGGGTGGGTGAAGAGGGGGAAAAGGTGGAAAGAAGATGAAAGGAAACAAAGGGGAAAAGTGGAAGGCAGGAAGAAATGAGAAAAGTTGGAAAGGGGATTGCAGACAAAGAAAGTAGATGCACAGGGGGTTGAGTAGCAAACAGGCCACTGGTAGGGGAAAACGGAAGATGAAGGAGAAGGAAAGAAAAGGAAAAAAGAGAAAGGAGAAGGGAAGGACTGCCACCGACCTTGACCATAGCTAGGGTCGGCAGTTGCAGTAAGAACGAAGCGGAGGTCACTTACACACCGGTGAGAAAAGCTCTTAGAAGGAGAGAAGAGGACACTCACACACCGGTGAAACTTTCTCTTTTGATTGAATAAAACTCACCTTATACTACCGAGATTTTCCAAAACCAAAAAAAACAAAAAAACAACAAAAACAAAAAAAAACCCAAACAAACAATCGTTGTTTCCATTCCGGTAGTATTCCCCAGTTTGTATTTGAAACAAATATCCAGTCTCCATTTCATATGTTTAGTCTACAGTGTTGATCTCTATCCTATGGTGCAAGTCGTAGTACTTGTTTATGCATCTAATGAAGCTGATAACCTAACCCTACGTTTATCAAAAAGACTCCAGTCGCTTCTCCCACTGCGTTGCTCTTTTCCTAGTATCTTTTCATATTAAGAGATGACTATGGCGAACATGCCTCGTATCTTTGTGTTCTGATGAACATGCATGAATTCGGACCACCGAACCTGAATTTGAGCGACATCAGAAAACTCATGAACTATCACGCGGAGTAGGGAAGATGAGTCCATCTTTTAGATGGCCTACTGATGTCGGACATAACCATTTCAGCATACTTGGACCCAAAACCTGATCAAAAGAAAAACGACTAGCAATGTTAGCCTTAGTCACAGATTTTAATAACATATATATTGAAGATACAAAATACACACAGAGGAGGCACAGAAAGAAAGGGATAGATAGAGACCGAAGAGATGTTTTTGTGTACACTAAGATTGTATGGATGTCTGTAACTTTTCCCAGATTTCCCAGCTAACCATGCTGCCCGTATTCCTTCATAATACTGTTAAGAGATCCATGTTAGCTCTGTATCAATTATTCACAGAAAGAAAAAAATTGCTCCAGTTTCGATTACGAAAAGTCATAGTTACCTCTATAGTTGTCATATTATTGGTTATGAGGTAGATATGCCAACCTAAAAGAGCTCCAAGCATTACCGTCAAGGAAGCCATCACTAGACCAGACATAACCTGAAAAAACCAGTAAAGATGATTGGTGAGGCAACAAAGGCTTTTAAGTTCAAATGACTTCGAATTGCAATAGAACTTCATTAAAAATTCAACTAATTTAGAATAATAAATCTCTTTCTAAGTAATTGACTAAGCTCAAGTTGTTATAAAGATGAAAAATCTGTTGTAAATGACACTCGCCCACGATAATTAACTGGCTGATTAACCTTCTCAGTAGCAATAGTTGCAGTCTATACTAAGTTCCATATTCAATTCAAAATTTCAGTTGATTTAGTGTTATGGTTCGTTGGCTTAACATTTCATAACTGATCGAGTATATCATTGGCCTAATGCAAGTTGTTTTTCAATACGTGGTATCAATTACTTAAATGAACTCGTGTGCATGATTGTTACACTAAGCAACTAGTTCTCCAAATTTCTGTGCACTGTACCAATGCTTCACACTTTTGAAATTTGAGCCACAAAACATCTTTTGTAGTAGAAAGCACTATATCTCCGTCCAACTCATTAAGTGTGCATAAAAACAGAATAAAGAAGAGGCTTAACTAGATTCGTGATCAAACTTATGTACTTAGGAAATTACTCCAAATCAAGAAAACGCAAACAGATAAAAATCCTCAGCACCAAAGGAAAAAAGCGAGAGTGTACTAACTCACATAAAAAACCTTGTGGCTATCACTTGCAATGAATTCGAAGTCCTTTTGAGATACACACTTTATAATCATAACCTAAACATGTTGAAACCTTCTGTCAGAATTTGAGGCTGCTTATTATTATAAGATAAAGATTCATAATATGGAAAAGGAAGAACCAGAAAAACTAACTGTAGAGTACAAGCATCCTAGCGTTGCATATAAAGCAAGCATAAAAAATGCCTTGTAGTTCCAGTAACCAACACAGTTATTGATCCACATGCAGTGATGATCCTGCACACAATTTTGGCATGAAAAATGTAAACGAAAAAATCTAATACATGTGCAAAAGAATCATGAATAATATAACATGGAAATGAGAATGTAATTCAACCTACCATTCTTAAAACACACCTTCTGCAGACCCGGCAATGATGAGTTCTGGGAGGCTTGTATGTAGAACACTTGTCACAGCGAACCTGTCAGAGATCAAGGATCCAAAGTTTCAAAATTAGCTACAGAGACAAGAATCAGCCTTACTAAGGTGCGGCTAGACCCACAACAGGTATGCATAATAAACTTGATAATATGAACTCTTCAGAAATTCGTTGAAAGTGGAGAGAGAGAGAGAGAGAGAGATGAAGTACAAATCATTCCAGTGTCACCGATTCAGCTGTTAATGCAACATTTCAATTCCTAAGTTCAGAAATTTTTTCATGCAATTACGGTCTTTGAAGAGTATGTAATGCTACCATAACACCAAGTGCATGGTCCAAGGTTTTATGACTTAATAAACCTCAACCCATCGCTATGTCCTGTGTCTATACTCCTAAGGTTGCAATTGAATACGTTTTACTTTCAGTTTCATTTCACAGGTAACCTAATTATCGACATCTCTATCTCTACTATACTAACAAATATCCACCCTGATGAAACAGGTAAAAGAACTGACTCACGTTTCAACGATCTCCGTCAACAAGCAATGCAATCTACTCAATAGTCCAACTCTCATATTTTCTTTCAGCCTAAACTCAATAATTCACACGAAAAGAAGATGTAAGAGCCAATGGGGTGAGAATAACAACTTATCTATATTGCCAAGATTCTAAAACTTATTATTTGACTTGCTTTACAAACAATGAATCCACTCAAATGAGCACAGTAGAATGAGTTTACCAGATTAAATTAAACTTTCCACATATCACAAACAACAGTTAATCTAACTAACCCCTAGTCGAAACGAGCATCAAAATCATTCATCAAATCCGTAATACATTACTAATTATATACAATCTCAACAACCCATTAACATACCACTCAAAACTTACATTCTACTCAACATCCAAACCAAAACTTCAATTCATTATCTTTACCTCAATTTTCTCACCAACCAAACATACAATACCAAATAAGCGCCCCAAAATGCTTACATTTTTCTTAGATTCTTGATCGGAGACCACACTATGTTCAACATCAGGGACGTAGGAAGCAGGAACGTGACCTGGGTCGATGAGAACACAGCAAAAGAAGGAGAAGAGGCAGAGAGATGCCAAGGAAATGAAAACCAGAGCGTTCAAAGAACCAGCGGAGCTCTTCAATCCAACCCAACCGTCGATGAAGATGAAAACCGTGATGTAACACACAGTACCAATTAACAAAATCACCATAAAGATTGGGATTGACAGGAATCTTTCGAACTTCATCGTGGGTTTTGGGGGAGATGGAATCAATAGAAAAGTTTTCCCTTGTTTTTCTGGGAAGTCTATTTCCCGGGAATTCTGAATCCGAGGAAGGTCCGAGCATTTTCCTTTCTTTTTACATTTATGTTTCTAAATGTACCCAAGAATTTAAAACTAATTCACTTTTGGCCCTGTAGTTTAGTTTTAATTTTGTCCATGTGGTTGCAGTTGTCTTAATCTTTTTGAGATTTCGTTAATGTTAAAGTGCGGCCAGATTGACATGTGGCATTTAGTCAGTGTCCACGTAGGCGCCACGTTATCATATGTATGAATTGTCCTAAAATTTTTACTTCAGGTATCATTATGGGATGAAAAATAAATTGTTGTACCAAATGTTGAAAACCAAGAAATATAAAGATAGTAAACTGAAATTAACCCAAAATAATAATAATACAAACGTTTATATCTTTTTGATTTCTGATTTACCCATCAAGGACGATCTTAGGTATGGTTTGAGGTTAAAGTGATTTAAAAAAAAATTGGTATAAAAAAAAGCTGGGGGTCATTTTTGTGTTTGGTAAACTTCCAGCTTCAGCTTTTTTTTCACAATTTTGGGTAAAAAAAGCCAAAAAACAGAAGCAGCAAAATGCAGCTTTGAAAAGCTGGCTTTTCAGCTTTTGCACAAACCTCTAAAACACAGGTGAACAGTGACCCTTTAATGAAAGTTTCTGGCAATCCTACCTTAAGCTCTCTCTTCCGCCTCCACACTCCTCTGTCAAACCCACCACTCTCCCACACCTCTCTACACTCCCTCCGCGTTTCCTGCTCCTTCAAACCCAAAACCCCCCAAACCACCTTCTCTATCCGCCTCAACACTGCCGTCTGCCAAAGACAGAGTCATCGACTTCGGAAAATACAAGGGCAAGATGCTGGGCACCCTCCCTTCAGCCTACCTTAAGTGGGTCTCCAAAAATCTCCACGCTCGCGACTTCAAGGACTGGGTGAAGCTCGCTGACCAGGTCCTTAACGACGCCATTTACCGGGACTGGATCAAGTAGGAGCCGGCAGAGAACATCCTGAACGGAAATCGGAGGAAAACAAACCTAGCCTCTGACGTCGTTTCATCCACCGAGCTATGGTGGCTCCAAACCCATCAGGAACCCTAATTTCCCAAAACCTATTTCTCCATTTCACCGATACATACACTCAACTCAAGCTCATGCGGTTGATTTCGAGGATTCCAAGAAGGAGGAAGAGAGAGTGCAGAGAGAGAGAGAGCTAAGGTCAGATGGTCTGAGATCGAAGATTTGTGTGTGGGGTTGTCTCGATGGAGGAGAGAGTGTAGAGAGAAAGAAAGAGAGAGAGCTGAGAGTTTTCAAGAGAGTTTGAGTGTGTAGAGGGAAAGTAAGACACAAGGATAAGGGAAATGAGGTGTGGGCCCCACAACCACACAAAATCCTCACATAAAAATAATAATATTAAATAAAATATTATAATAATAATATAGTATTATACCCTTTTTGATCATTTCACATAGTAATAGCTGTTTTACATAAAAGTTTACCAAACACTCTGCTGCTTTATTTCACAACTGCTTATTCTCATAGCACAGCAGAAGCAGTTTTTTTCAAAGCACAGCAATACCAAACCAGCCCTTAATATGGTGATTCTTAAGTCAAATAGTTGGATCAATAGCAAGTCCACATTCTTTCCTTGGGATCTTCTAAACACTATCAATGTGTTTGTTTTACCAAACTATCCCGTAGTGAAGCATTTGATGTAATGTAAGACTAAGTCATATACTACATTTGTTTTTCCTTTTGTAATTTACTTGAAAAAAAAGGTAAATTACATAAAACTACCTCAATTATTGGGCCAGTTACAGTTTCATACCCCCATTTTTAGAAAATTTTAATGTCATACATCATCTTACAAATTTTTACAATTTCATACCTTCCGTCAGTTTGTCTGTCAATTCTTCCATTAAATAGTGACATGACTTGATGTCACATCCGGGCCCGAGACGGATCACTTCCCGGGCCCGCTCCACCACCGTAGCACGATATTGTTCGCTTTAGGCTTACCATTCCCTCACGGTTTTGTTTTTGGGAACTCACGAGCAACTTCCCAGTGGGTCACCCATCATGGGATTGCTCTAGCCCCCTTATCGCTTAACTTCGGAGTTCCTACGGAACCCGAAGCCAATGAGCTCCCAAAAGGCCTCGTGCTAGGTAAGCATGTGAATATACATTTAAGGATCATTCCCCTTGGGCGATGTGGGATGTCACTGAAGGAAAATTTGTGAAAAACATGTTCATTTAAGCAACATCAATAGCATGCAATTAACAATTAAAGGCGGAATCATGCTTGTATGCACTTAAAACAAAACATTTACCCATGAAATTCAAAGCCTAGTAGATAGGTGAATCAAGACTCAACTCAAAACAAAGTGAGTTGAGAAATCAATACCTTTGTAGATTCCTCTTTGCATAAGCAAAGGCTAATCACCCAAAGAGAGGGCCTTCATTCCTTGCATCTTAGATCCATGGATTTGGATGGATGAAAAGGTTTCTCCAAGTTCCCAAAATTGAGAACCTCTAAGTCTCCACACCAAGGTATATTGTAGAAGAAATGAGTGACCTAGAGGAAGTAAGATTGCTAGCTATTCCCCTCTAGATTGGCCAAAATTTTAGAGAGAAAGGAGAGCTTGTGTTCTCATCCTTTCCCCCAAAAATAACCCTTAGTAAATTTTAGGCTATAAAGTCCTTTATATAGTCCCTTCAAATAAGTGACCTAATGGACCTAAAGCCCTATTCTTTTACACATGGCTAGCCTATAGGTTTATTGGGCTTTCAAGCCCTTTGTTTTATTCAAGTTGTCATACAACTTGAGTTAATGGGCTTGACATTCAAATCCCATTGGGCCTTGCGGCCCAAAACTAACCCGAGGTCTTTAACGAACTTATTTGTTTGATTAATTAACATATTAATTAATCATAGCCTTAGATAAATAATTAAACCATTTAATTATTCTTACTCATCTCCGTTGTTTCTTCAAACTCTACCTTACACGGTGTACGATCCATTAGGTTCCTTTTAGCGAGGCAGTGGGCGATTCAAACTCTTTCAAATCGATTGTGAATTGAAACTTACTTTCAATTCTCCCGTTAGTGATAATACACTTTTAGGGCTTCCACAAACCATGAGTGACACCTAGCAGCATATCATGGTTACCCAAGCTAATCAGAAGAGGTGGAGAACCTATTCAGTTTAGGATTACAAATGCAATACGGTCTTTCTCTAATACAATACTCTTGACCACATTGTTTGGTTTGATAGTTTATTCATGTCTACTATCCAATGTGAATCTTGTACTTATATGATTACCTTGAATGTGATCTGGAACGCATTCCAACATCTCATTCATACTCTGGCCAGAGATTCTAAATCATATCATAGAGTATTCTCCCTCAAACAGTTTGAAGGTTAGAGATCCCTTGTTGCGCATTCACTTGCCTCCATGGCTAAGTGGCTTAACCCCAACGATGCCGTGGACACCCTGATAGAGTGACTTTGACATAATCAAAGATTAAGGACCTAACCACAAGACAACTGTGATGCCTCAGGTCAAAAGACTAATTTGCATTATCCCAACCATGAGTTCTCATGTGACATGAATATGAGAACTCTTCGTTGATCGTGTTCAGTGAACTCATTCTCTATTGAGCACCTACGTACTTGTCTTGATGTCACACACACCAATGACTCGAGACTAGTCACTCTCCCTGAGAGAAGACATAGCACGTACTGATCTTAACGGACTGTCAATGCCCAATTGACAATCATATGATCAGGAACGTTTAGGATGTGTCAACGAAAGAATGGTCTCATGAATCTAACTTCTTTAGATCGCATTCTTCCAATCACATATTCCTTGGACTTATCGTTTAAGCATATAACATTTATATTAGACGGCTCAAACAATAATCTTTGCCCTTTACATTTAAACTACATTAGTTTGAAATGAACTACATTAGTTTGAAATGTCCGTAAAGTATCATCATATGATTGGTTTTAGGGCACATTTCCAACAATCTCCCACTTGCACTAGAGCCAATCAGCTTAGTCATCATTGATGATACCTCTTCTGTAATTCATTTCATAAATGGCTGAGTAGTAGGCCTAAACAATGGATATCTATATGTTATCCATAGAAGCAACCTTGAGAATAACGACGTCACCATTATACATGATTCTCAATCATGTGGTTCAGTCTCTCATTTGAGTTCGGACCTTGATGAGACCTTGATTCCCTGGCTTGAGCTATCGCCCCATTAGTGTCATACACTTTCTGGTTGGAACCGAATGAAGAGTTCATGAATGAACTTTCCCATCCAAACAACAATGTTGTAAGCTTCTATATGGCAATATATTTTGCATACATGATGGAACACATTAAAGTCATTTACTTTTAACGTTTCCACCCAAATATCTCTTTAGTCATAATAAAGAGATATCTCTTTATCACTTCATTCATAATGAAGAGATATTCTATGATGGATTAGATTCATAATCTAATACATTTACGCTTCCATTACGTTACTCTAATTCTTCCTCATTCTTGAGGAATCCATCCTTAGTATTTCTTAAATACCTAAGGATTCACTTGACAGTTGCCATGGTTCTGATCCTGGGCTTGCATTGATATCATCTTGTACCGTTCTAGGTACGACTTATATCAATGTTTTCATACAATATGAAATACATAAATCACCTTTCTGCGTATGCATAAAGGATTCTATTTACGCATTATTTCTTTGGGAGTCAAAGGGTACATTCCCTTTGAGAAGAACAACTTCCTAGTCTCACTAGAATTGTCATTCTAATTGAAGTTTATCATCATATGAGAAACTTCCTAGCATCTCTTGTCTATTTTAGGGATTGATATAATCCAATTATATCTTGAAATCTATCATTATAGATTTCCATCCCATGTATATAGACTGTGTCTCCCATATACATTCTATCATTATAGAATGTTTAAAGTCATAACTTTAACGATGAAGAATTCCTTTCATTTTCAAAATATATATCATGTATATATATTCTAATTTAGGAATATGATCAACTCCCACTAATCTT